TCTCGGACCCATGGGCTCATGCAATCCTCTCACCTCAACCTCCCAAAGTGCTGGGATTATAGGCATGAGCCATTGGGCCCAGCCTAATCTGGACTTTCAAACCATTCCCTTCTTGAACTGGTTCTAGCCACCTTGAACTATTTTAATTCAAAAAGGACCATAGTTGTAATGAGCTACCATGGCAGAGCATTTACTAAGGACTGTGCCGCAAAGCACTTTACATACATTAATTTTATTCATGATCTGGACATTTTTTTTTTTTTGAGTTAGAGTCTCACTCTGTCGCCCAGACTGGAGTGCAGTAGCCCTCCCGGCCACCACAGCCTCGACCTGCTGGGCTCTGGCAATCCTTCCGCCTCAGCCTTCCAAGTAGCTGGAACTACAGGGGTGTGCTACCACACCCAGTTAATTTTTTTTTTAATCAATATTTTTTATTTTGATATTGTGGGGTACAGTTAAGAGTTAGGTATACAAATATGCAATTTTTGACTTATTGTAGAGATGAGGTCTCACCAAGTTGCCCAGGTGGGTCTCGAACCCGTGGGCTCAGGCAATCCACTCATCTCAGCCTCCCAAGGCGTGGGATTACAGGCTGAGCCACTGAGCCCGGCTATAACTATGGTTTTATAAGCCAAATTAAGGTTTAAGGGCTAAGCGCAGTGACTCACCACTGTAATTCCAGAATTTGGGGGGCTGAGGTGGGATAATCTCTCAGCTTAGGAGTCTGAGACCAGTCTGGGCAACATAGCAAGACCTCATCTCTACAAAAAATTTAAAAATTAGCTGTGCGTGGTGGCATGTGTCTGTAGACTCAGCTATTTGGGAGGCTGAGGTGAAAGGATCGCCTGAGCTCAGGTTGAGGCTGTGGTGAGCTGTGATTGTGCCACTATACTCCAACCTAGGTGAGAGTGAAACCTCAACTCAAAAAAAAAAAAAAAAAGGTTTAGAACTTTATCCTGAAGTCAGTTGGGTGACACTGAAGGGTTTTAAGCCCAGGTTGACTTAATGAGATTTTCAATATGTCCAAACTTAAAGAGATCTCTGGGGCTGCAAAGTGGATAATCGACTCGATAAAAGACAAGGCTAGAGGACAAGGCCAGTTCAGAGACTAAGAGGTAGCAGGCGAGAGGCTGCACTTGTCCCTCAACAATAGAATCAATAAACATACAGTGGAAGACAGAAAATAGCAATGAAAATGAACTGGAGCTCCATGCAACATGGATGGGTACTGCAAGTGAACTGTTCAGCAAAAGCCGCCAGACACAAAATACTGCATAATTCTATTTATATAAAGTCCAAGGGGACAGGCGCAGTGGCTCACGACTGTAATCCCAGCACTTTGGGAGGCCAAGGCTGGAGAATCACTTGGACCCTGGACTTCAAGACCAGCCTGGATAACAGAGTGAGATCTTGTCTCTAAAAAAAGAAAGAAAAGAAAATTAGCCAGGCATGGTGGCATGCACCTGTAGTCCCAGCTACTCAGGAGGATCACTTGAGCCCAGGAGGTCAAGGCTGCAGTTAACTGGGTTTGTGCCACTGCATTCCAGCCTAGGGAACAGAGTGAGACCTTGTCTCAAAAAAAAAAAAAAGTTCAAGGAACAGGCAAAACCTAACCATTGTGTTTGGCGATGCATTTTCAGGTGGTATAACTATAAAACCAAGGAAGCCATTATCACAATGGTGGTTGGAAGAGCATTTACCTCATAGGGGGCTTCTACTTGACTATTCAGTACCTTGGCCTGAGTGATGTTAACACAAGTGTTCACTTTGTGATAAATCAGTTGGCTTTAGGTTTGTGTTTTGTGCACTCTTCTGTACGTGTGCTATTCTTTTTTTTTTTCTGAGTTGGAGTCTCACTCTGTTGCCCAGACTGGAGTGCAGTGGCCGCTTCTGGCCACCGCAGCCTCGACCCACTGGGCTC